AGTTTCACTTAAGAAATCTTCACAGGTTCCTTCATCTTCACTTTTGCCGCCTTTGTTTCCCTAGAAATAAGATTTCAGGAAATCATGCCAGACATAAGTTTAATAATATAATATATTCTATTTAATGTATCATCTACATAGTCTTTGTGGTACCTCCTGAATCAGACAAATCAATTTTGTTGTGGGCCAGATCACCTGGTTCTTACTGGTGAAAAAATCCTTTGGTTTCCCCAGCATTTATTCCTAAATGGAAACTGCAGGCTCAAGGCCCGATGCAGCATCATTTCTGAAAGGGCAAACTCTGACTTTCTTTTTCTCAGCTTGCATTTCTTCCTCCAGCAGCGTGAGGCCACCTCTCAAATGGGGCATGAGGACAACTTCCCTGGGAGCAGGGACAGCGACTTGAAAGGCGCTACATGAGCGCCGTGTTTCCAAATAGACACCTACATCTATTCCTGCTCCACAAAAGGCACCAGCGGGGTTTTGCCAGGCTGTTTGTCACCACATGGGTTTGCAGCCCTCTTGGAAGTCCTGACATTATCAGAAATGGATCGAGAGGCAGCGCTGTTAAAAATAAAATCCCTGTTTTCTTCTCTGTGGAATCATGACATTGCTGCCCAGCATTTCACATCCTCTGTGTAGAATAACCCATATAAGACAAGAACACATATTACTCTACCCTCACCTATTTTTTTAACAATATCTTAAGTACTGTAGTTTCATACACATCAGCTTTGGCATTTATTCTTTCATTTCTATTCACTCAGAAGACTGAGCCACAGTCAAAAATATATTTCTGTATTCTGGTGTCGCTTTTTTCATGAAACCTTTATACAGGTCTTTGTACATAGGCCACTGTGCAGAATTTGAACCTCAGAGTACAGTTTTATAGACACATAGGACTTTTATTCCAGATAACAACAAAGCCAGAATGGATTGTTTACATGAGAACTGTGTACCAGGAAATGAGGATACAGAGAAAGAGCTGAGGATGGGAAGGGGTTTGGACAGAAACTGAGATTTTTAAACTAGGATGAAGATTTCTAGATGGGTGTTTTGAGCAACACCTTGACTGGAGGAGGGGTGGGAAGGTAGATTTCCAATAGCAGAGGAAGACAAGGGAGTGGAGGGGATCACTCACCCCTGCTGGCTAAAGAAAGAAAAGGAGGAACCAAAGGCAGGGAAGTGTAGAGAAGAGTAACAGAAAAAGTTACAGAGCCTGTGGTAAGTCAGCCCCTTAAATATTTAATGAAAGCAACCTGACTGATCTGTTTATTCATATGGCATGCTTTCTATAATTTCAGTATTCTCAGGGGAATCAGAAATATGGAAACCATCAGAAATGACAGACAGCTGACCCAGAAAAAAAAACCAACTAACTATTTTCAGCTTTATTATACAACACATTTCATCCAAAACAAAGGCTTCATTAGAAAAGCTGCTCGAGATCTTTTCATAGAATCACAAAAAGACACACACCCCAAACATTTTTGAAAGAGCTGCTATGGACTGTGTTCAGCTGTCAGAAGTGCTTTAGGTTTTCTGACTGCAGAGGGCATTTCAGTCCAACGTAGGAGGGACCACAGGCACCAGGCACTCCTCTCTCAGACATGTCATTAGATATTTTACCAGTGCTTTAATGGAGAGATCTGATCAATAGAGTGTATTACCCACAGAACAATGGAAAAGCCACGTTTTGCTCACTAACAGATGAATTTCCCAGGAACTATTTATAGCACAAACATCAGAGCTGGGTAGCCCATCTGCTCCCCCAGCCCCTACGGTGTGCAGGGATAACACATCCCAGGAACCCTGTGCTCCCCAGAGCACAGGAGACACCAGCTCAGAGTGCCAAACTCTCAGGCACAGAAATACCTTCAACAGTCTGGTCCAGGGCAGATTGGTTTTCTGAGGGATGCAGCAGATGTGGAACTCTTCCTCTTCCACCTCCCTGCCAACCCATCCATAGGAGGGCTGTGTGGGCAGGGGAGAAATCATAGAATCACAGAATGGTTTGGGTTGGAAGGGACCTTAAAGATTATCCAGTTCCAAACCCCTGCCATGGACAGAGGCACCCACTAGACCAGGTTTCTTTAACTATCCAACCTTGCCATGAACACTTCCAGGGATGAGGCATCCACAACTTCTCTGGGCAACCTGTTCTAGTGCCTCACCACCCTCACAGTAAAGAATTTCTTTTTAACATCTAATCTAAAACTACTCTCTTCCAGTTTCAAGCCATTCTATGATTCATTCCCTCCTTCCCTGTCACTACAGTTCCCAATGAAGAGTCCCTCTCTGCTTCCTTGTAGGCCCCTTATAAGTTGGGGATGGAACCAAGGAGCAACTGGCTCAGCAGCAGCTGAACTTTATTTGCTGTGTTGGACACCAGGCTGAGTGTTAAACACCACATGTCCCTTACAAGCAACGCTGTTACAATTCTGTGGTTCATCTTCTAAGGGCCAAGATAAATCAAAAATTAAAACTGCATAACTTGGTAGTTCTCTGGCCAAAGTAAGGCACGTTGCAGAGACATGGTGGCTCTGTGTTTTGGGGACACTTGCAGGGAGTGGGCTCCATTAAGGGAAGAAGGCTTTTTGAAGGAGAAACTGGTTGAACAACAGGCTAGGGCAGGTCCCTGTCACAGAGCAATGTGTCCCATGAGGAAGGATCAGCATTAGAACATTTGCAACTAGTATATTGTCTCCCAGCATTCCTGATAGAACATGCAACATTGGTGTTAGCTAGAGATGAGGAGCTGGCTGGGGAAGCAGTGAAAACATGCCAAGATCTCCCTTGAGGAGGACAGACCTCTGGGAGACTTCTGGAAATCTGTGAAGAGCAGTGATGTCAAACTGAAAAGATAGGGAAAGACTCAGGAAGTTTTTGAATCTAGTGAAGCCAAAGGACTTTACTCACTAGAAAAACCAGTTTAGCAGAGTAACACAGCCAATTCCACAGGCTGAATGTCAATAAACAAGGACTTGTTCGTAAGGGAACAAGACTTCTGCAAGCCTCACAATGGTATGGCTTGTTGGAGAAGAATGTGAATGATTGTGAAGAGGTGGGTCTCAGGAAATGAGAGTGCATTGAAATCTCATGTAAACAGCTTGGGAATCAAGGACCTGGAAAAGAACACAAAAACCACTGTTTGTCGAGTTCCAGGGCTTTATGTGAACTGCTTAATTTCTGGTGGTCTTGTAACAACAGGATTAACTATAATAAATTGTACCAGGAAAGTAGTTTGGAACCGAATTTTGGGGAAAGAAAGTCTTTCCTTGCTAGTCTGAGCACAAGTTCAGCCTGGAAAAGAAAAGGCTGCAGGGTGACCTAATTGTGGCCTTCCAGTACCTGAAGGGAGCCTACAAGAAAGATGGAGAGAGACGATTTACAAGGGCCTGGAGTGACAGGACAAGGGAGAATGGCTTCAAAGTGAAAGGCAGTAGGTTTGAATGAGATATTAGGGAAAAATTCTTTACTGTGAGGGTGGTGAGGCCCTGGAACAGGTTGCCCAGAAAAGCTGTGAGTGGCCCATCCCTGGTTTTCTGCCAAATAAAGACCAGGTTGGATGGGCCTCTGAGCAACCTGGTCTAGTGGAAAGTGTCCCTGCCCATGGCAGGGAGGTTGGAACTGGATGATCTTCAGAGTCCCTTCCAACCCAAACCATTCTGTGATTCTGTGGTGAAGAAGATGTGCCTAATTACTGGTTTGGCAGGCAGGAAGAGAAAATGAAACAGAAAAGTTTATGGCCATCACTGTAACTTTTTGTGGTCCTCTGGTTCTCCTGTATTTCTCTGCAGATCTTCTGGGTGCACTTATTCTCTTCTGAAAGAGGAAAATGTTCAAAAAGTGAAAATGTTTCCTGTTTAAATCTGACCTTTTCTCTCTTCCCACTCTGCCAAGGAGGTGAAAAATGTCACTGAAAGCTGTGGATATTGTAACAAAGGTGCATGGAGATCATGTATATGCATCATGATGTATATGCACAGGCACAACCTTCTCTTCTGAGCCCATGGGTGTGCAAGCACACTGCAGGAAAAAACTTAAAAGAACAACAGGGGCTTTCATATTTGTTTGCAGCAGGTCAGGGAGGTGATCCTGCCCCTCTACTCAGCCCTGTGAGGCACATCTGGAGTGATGTGTCCAATTCTGGGCTCCTCAGGACAGGAGGGACATGGAGCTCCTGGAGCAGGTCCAGTAAAGTCTACAAAGATGCCAAAGAGATGGAGCATCTCTGGGAGCAGGAAAGGCTGAGGGAGCTGGAGCTGTTCAGCCTCCAGAGCAGACACTGAGAGGGGACCTCCCCCAGGTCTGTAGGGTCTGCAGGGAGGGGGCAGAGGATGGACCAGGCTCTGCTCGGGGGGCCCAGCAATGGCACAAGAGGAACGGGCAGGAACTGATGCCCAGGAAGTTCCACCTGGACACGAGGAAGAACTTCTTTGCTGTGAGTTGATCACACAATGGAACAGATTGCCCAGAGAGGGTGTGAAGTCTCCCTCACTGGAGATATTCCAGAACCATCTGGACACAATCCTGTGCCATGTGTTCTGGGATGACCCTGCTGGAGCAGGGAGGTTGGACCAGATGAGCCACTGTGGTCCTTCCAACCTGACCAGTTCCTATGATTCTGTGATTCTGTGATTCTGTGACTCTAAAACTTCAGAGAAGGACATGTCCCATGTAACAGAGTAACAGAAGAAAGAGCTGAATGATTTAGAGACCATCATTCTGTCAAGATGTTCTGGTGATGAACAAGGACAGTGAAACATATGTTGTTTGAGTAGTCACACAAACCTCAGGGAAAACATATGATACAAGTCATGCCTTTCAGTGTTCATAAAACATAGCAGCTACTCAGATATGTGCCATAAGGACATGTTTTCCCAGGCTTAAATGGGTGACTTTAATGCCAGGTACCACCACCTTCTCAGCCCTTCATATTCTCTTTTGTAGACAAATGTGCTCTTCTGTTTCTCTTTTTCTGATAACATTCCAGCAGTGCCTCTTCATTTTCCCTCTCTGGTTTTCCTCCTAGACAAAAACCCAGAGAAAAAGGACTACTGGCATCCAGGAAGATGTGTGCAGACCCCAACATCATAAAACAAGCTCATCTTTCCCTACCTCTGAAACCCAAAACATGCTCTGGCACTAAGTTTATCTTTCAAGGACCTTCTCAGAGAAAGCCCATTGTGTATGTACTTTGCAGGGTCAGCCAGCAAAGCCCCCTTCACCACAGGTATCAAGACAAAAGATAAACATTGTGATACTTTCCCTGCCCTCAGTTTCCTCAATAATCGTGGGGTGCAGTTAAGGTCATCTAGGGCTGCTCCTCCCTTGCCTGACTTGTCCAGATTAGAGAGTCACTTCCTCCTTTAACCAGCTTTTTCTGACCTTGTGCAGTGTTTCTGCTATGGAAAGTCACCCTGTTGGTCTCCTCTCACCAGTTTTAAACATTAGAACCACCCTAATTCCTCTGGTCTTCTTGCTGAGAAAGTCCAACCAAGACAGAGATGTTTGGAATAGTGGTTTCACATAGAAAGGAGCCTTATGTGTGATATGGAGTTGTTTAGAATCATAGAATCATGGAAATGTTAAGGTTGGAAAATACTTCTAAGATCATCAAGTCCAACCATCAACTGAGCACCACCACCACATTCACCACTAAATCCTGTCCTCAAGTGCCCTATCCACATGTTCTTTGAACAATTTCAGGGATGGTGACTTCACCACTTCCCTGTGCAGCTTGTTCCAAAGCTTGACAACCCCTCCCATGAAGAAATTTTCTCTAATATCCGCTTTGAACCTCCCCTGGTGCAACTTGAGGCCATTTCATCCCGTCACGACACTTGTTTCCTGGGAGAAAAGACAGACACCCTCCCAGGCACAACCTCCTGTCAGGTGGTTGTAGAAAGCAAGAAGGTCTCCCCTGAGCCTACTTTTCTCCAGGTTAAACACCTCCAGCTCCCTCAGCTGCTCCTCATCAAACTTGTGCTCCAGCCCCTTCCCCAGTTCTGTTGCCCTTTTCTGGACACGCTCCAGCACCTCAATGTCTTTGCTGTGGGGAGAGACCCAAAACCGAACACAGGATTCCAGTGCCAAGTACAAGGAAAAAAGCTTTGGGAGTGGTATAGATGCAAAACTATCCTCACTCTATAATAAACAGAGGATAAAGACAGTGTTTTTCTGCGTAGTTACAATTTTTTTTCAGACTTTCAGTATTTGAATATCATCAAGGTAGGGAGGATGTTATGGCTTATGCCAGGCTTTTCACATCAATTCTTATATTTTAACCTTTAAAAACAAGGAAGGAGAGAAGTGCTGACATAATGGTGGGTCTGTTTGCTCTGACCATTTCATCCAGAACAGTTCCAGTCCCTTGCAGAAAGCAGTCAGGGGTTTGATCTTGCAGTGCAAACCTGCAGAAACTTAACTGACATGGCACAGCTTGAAGGAATGTTTTGTGAGCTTATGCTCCTCATTGCAGCAGTCTTTGGCATAAGTGATGGATGGATGTGATAACTACCACTACTTCTTTTTACTTGCATACCATTAATATATTGCCTCTTAATGTTAATAAAATACACACAGTAAACTTTACAACATAAATCTTCAGCATCATAAAGACCCTCTTCATGTGAGTGGGTACTGCAGGTACCTATAAATTTAGATGGAAGAAGAAGCTGCAAGACAACAGCATGCCAAAAAGAGAAAGTAAAGGGTGAAAGCTTCCTGAGAACTGATAAGTCCAGGAGAACTAATGATCCTCTTGAACCTTCAAGAGTTGATAAACACAGGACCAAGACTTTGCTGCATTTGTTAAAGGTCACTTGCACACATGAGCATCAAAGGTCACTTGTGCACAGGAGCCACCAGGACATCAGTACAACCCTCTGCTTCCAAGCAAATGGCCTCAAAGCTGCTGCTCCAACTGGGAGCTGTATGATCCATGACTGTGCAAGTGAACTGTGAATGTGCTGTGTGAATAGTTATTTGCCATTAATAATAATGGCTTGTTTTGATCATTAATAACAGCTTAATGAATAATAAGCATTCTAAGAAACATTGTCTGTGATCCTTCCTCCCATAGCTCACTTCCCTACCAGGGAAAAGGGAATTTACAGCATGAGAATGGTGGACATTTCATTTCAGCAGCTGAATGACTTCACATAAACAATGATAAGGGAGAAAAAAAAAATAAGGCTTTTTTTGTTGTTGTTGCCCTGAAACCCGTTGACAGAGCTGAAGAGCTTTATACAAGGACAGTATGATAGTTGGAAGCCATTTGAAGAGGAAGGGAGTGGAAAGGAAAGGGGAAGAAGTGGGAAGACTGCACTTCCTAAATAAAGACAGATGGTGCCTGTGGTTTCTTTTGTAGGTGTGTTCTTGCTTCCTTGGGTGCATTTGCAATTGAACACATTTTGGTCACCATCTGACATGTTTATAAAAAACTACTTGCTGGATTGGTGAACACACTGATTTCTACTGGTTTTCTTAAAGACTCCAGAACTACTGGGTAATAAAAAAAATTGAAAAATTGCTTGTTTCTACAACTTCACTTTCTGAGACTTAATAAATAAATACCTCCCCAACATCCCCAGAATCCCACCCTGTTGTCTCCCATATAGCACTGTGTTGTGTTCCCATTTATAGCTCAATACCTTCTCTTGTTCCACACAGGAAAGCCCAGAACATGGAAAGGCTGCCTGGCACCACAGCTTATCCCATCTGTAGCAGCTGGAAAACACAGAGGTCTGCAGAAGTGAGCATTAACAAGTAACTAGACAGAATGAGAGACACAACTATGGTTATTTCTTGAAAGACAAGATGCATCAAGATGTTCTTTACAGCAGCAAAATGATCAAAAACACATGACAGCTTCTGCTTACAAGTATTCCTGTCATGTCACCCTTCCCTTTGTACCAAGTGCCTTCATTCCCTAGAAATAGTTGTGTCTGATAAAGATTAAAAGAGAGGATTTAAGGCTCAGAGTGTGTGTGCATACCACCCTGTCCTGTTCCTGTCTGATCATCCAAAGAGAAATCTCCCAGGCTGCAATATTTGCAAGGCTTGCTTTGTGCTGCATTGTGTTCTCCAGCCCTTTTTTTCCTTGGGTTTAGTCCATTTCTGTAATATGGGAGGACAGAATACTTCATCCTCCCCTTTAAACTTCCAGTTCTGATTCATCAGCTGTATCATTGGGCTGACAGGTGATCTCAATTCCTTCAAAACAAACATCCAGAAAATTAATTTTCTCTCTTCCTCTACAAATTCCTGCATAACACTGAAAAAGCACATGGGAGATAGCAAAGCTATACATGTTCACATTTCTGCTCCTACCCCAAGGGAGGTCGTGGCAAGGTGGGGATCTGCCTCTTCTCCCAGTGACAGGCCTCAAGGTGTACTGGGGGAGGTTCAGGTGGGACATAAGGAGGAATTTCTTCACTGAAAGGGTTGTTAAGCACTGGAATGGGCTACCCAGGGAGGTGGTGGAGTCCCCATCCCTGGAGGTGCCCAAGGAATGACTGGACTTGTCACTCAGTGCTCTGGGCTGGGGGACAAGGTGGGCATCAGGCACAGGGTGGACTCGATGGTCTAGGAAGTCTTTTCCAAACACCACCTTATCTACTGGACCACAGCATTAATTACGACATCCAGTCATTAGAAATTCATATATGAATGGAATGGATTCTCCCAGCTTTTCCCCTCCACATCCAGATGACTGTCCCAGACAATGCCCTGGCAAGGCATCCAATTACTGCCCCTGCTGTAGACTTTGCTGTGTTTACTATTTTATCCCCACTCCTGCCCTCAAATGCATTTACTTTATTTATAAGACTATAATCAAGGCTTTCTTTAAATTGTGCAGGCCCAGAAAACTAGAGTAAAAATCTGAAGAAAGACTGCAAAGTACCATCCAGAGAAAAATAATCAGATAATGGCAGTAGAGGGATTTTTTTAGAATTAAACATGAAAAGAAATAAACCAATGCAGTATCCACTGCACTATCTATACTGCAATTAATTTAATTTATTTTATCCTGCTTTGTATCATCAGTGTTCTGTATGCTGCAGAGTTTTGTTCTGAAAATGCAGAATTGCAGATTCAAAGTAGGAAGTGAAAGGGAGAAAATCAGAGTTTTCAGCATCAAAGATCATCACAGTGGAGGCCCTTGGGACAGTCCAAGGAAATTATTTAGGATTAATACACAACTGTATTAACTGGAGGTTTCTGCTAAATTGATTAGCAGTGAAATTAGCTACATTAGCCTTTCCCAACTTTAGGCTTCAAATTGACCCAAAAGATTAATTTGGGCAATTCATACATCCCACTGCTGTTGCTGCTGTCTGATGGCTGTCACCACACCGGGCAGACACTGCTCATGTCGTTGTTTTTAAAAAGCTCTCTGTGCAGCTACAGGGGGTAGAAATACTGGGCTTGTTTCAGCCACGCAGACCTAGAGAAAATACATGGCAAAAAATCTCTTGCTCCTGTTGTGGGTGGCTGTTTCTGGCAGTGGGGGGAGTGTTTGATGACTGCACGGGAGGCACTCGCTGCCCACAGCTGTGATTTCCTGCCCTGCCATCCACTTCAGAGTGACTCAGTGGGGATTGTGTGCTGCTGAATGCACCCCCTGAATGATGAACTCATCCCTTTTTCCCTCTCCCAGAAAGGGCCTTTGTCCAGTGTAAAATGCACCCAGCTGCACAGCCAGCCAGGGAGCCAGTGCTAACATTTCCAGTTGCACGTGCTCTTCCTCGACACGGTGCTGTCCACCCACGTGGAGCTCAGGTCCTCCAGGCAGTTCATTCCAAGGTTATACTGCTGATGAACAGGACTAACTGTTTTTATTTATGATATTAAATACACCCTAACAAAACTGGAGACCATTAGAGGTTTCCTCACTGAACGGAGCAAATAAAATGCATGAACTGGCACGGATCGATACGAGTTTATCACATCAAACACTAATTCAAAGACACAAAGCTTCATGCAGGCACATCATGCATGGGTAGGAGAGAGTTGCCTTGCTTTCCAGAGACCCTCAGTGGCCTGCTAGTTAAAAAAGAAATAACTCCTGGTGGTTCCCTTGGGCTGACAGCCACTGAGAGTCACAGAATCACAGGATGGGTCAGGTTGGAAGGGAGCACAGTGGCTCATCTGGTCCAACCTCCCCACTTGAGCAGGGTCATCCCAGAGCACGTGGCACAGGTTTATGTCCAGACAGTTCTGGAACATCTCCAGTGAGGGAGATTCCACACCCTGAGGTGCCTTCATGAATGATCAGGTTGGGAAGTCCCTGAGGCCCTCACTAGAACAGCAACAGCAATTAATTTTAAATATCGACTCGCTCTACCTGTGCTGAGCAGCACCTGCTGCTGTGGCTGACGAAAGCAAATATATCTTTGTTTTTTGCATTCAACAGGATATATAAAGACATAAATACCCCCAGGTATTTATGGGGGCAACGCTGGTACTTCCTTGCTGTGACTCTGTTCTCCAGTTTACACATCCATGCCCTAATCCATGATAATCAGAACTGTGAGTTTTCCCTGCCTCTCTGGATCACAATGCCAATACCGTTCATGTCTTATGAAATGTTCACTACAAAATGTTCACTGTCTTTTGAAGAACCCTGTCTTTTTTTGGAAGAAAAAGAAAACTCAGATAACTCCTCAGCTCAGGTATTCCCCACAGCAGCACTTTGCTCACACTGCTAAATCAAAGAGTATTATAATGCAAAGTAGCTCTGTGTTGCATATCAGCTTCACAGGAAACATCACATGAACCTGGAGCTCAGGCCAGCAATCATGAAGTTTGGATATCAAAGGCGTTTTACAATATTGTTCAAACATAATAAATACCTCAGGCAAGTTTTTCAAATCTGTCAACTGACTGAAAAATGATGTCCCATCAGAGGCTGCTGAACATGTTTCCACCATCATCCTTACATGTTAGGAACAGTAATTGCTCCTCAAACTTGGAGCCACAGGAAATGCAGCAACAAATCATATCTACATTCATCCTTAACTTCCAGGTACAGAGTAATATCATCCATTCCCATCCCACCTTGACAGTTTTAATGATGCTCTCCAGAAAATTGCAGGAAATAGAAAGCAATCCCTATCTCTCACACAGGACACAGTCCCAAAAAACCTCCAGTAGCAACACGGCAAGGAGATTAATAAAGCTGTATTAAAAGGAAAATTGTGACAAAATCTTAGCTATGCCACTGCTACTTCTGTTTCATGTAGATATGTGTCCAGTTCAGCTGGAATAATCTTAAAGAGAATTAGAATGCATTACAGTTGTAGAAAATAATTCATGAAGACTGTAGGAGATCAAAAACTGGCAGTGACAGATGAAGTTCAGGTGGAGAAAGGCGTGTGCCTCCATCTCCCCTCCTGTCAGGCATCAGCACAGCTCCTCTCAGCGTCGCTCAGCACCTGCAGCAGTTTGTCTCCTGATGTCAGGCTGAACTGTCTGGATGGTTGTCCTTGGGCTTGGTGGTGCTACCTGTTGGCTACTTTTGAAGCAGGGAATGGAGGGAGCCACCAATACCTGCCACATGAATTGTCAGCCCTGTCCCTAAGTTGCTGGGCTGAGCTCTCTTGCAAGCACAATGTCTGCAGAGGAAAAGATAGGGGAGAAGACTATAATCTGTTATCATGAATTTTAATGCAGTGCTTTATATTTATACCCAAGCTATAGTCCATAAAACTGAAATGAATTTCTAATGCTGTAAGTATTATTTGCTATTTTCCATTCTGGTTGCCATTTCGTTCAGATTTTCTTTAATAATGCATTTTATAGGCCTGTACCTCTGCAGCTCCCCTCTGCCAGCTCAACTCCTCTGCTAACAGTAGCAATGCTTCACAAAGCCCGGTGGTTTGAAGTGACCTTGGGACTACCTTTTTCCCTGTTCTCCCCAGGCTGGTAAAAATCGCAGCATTAACTGGAAGTAGCCTTGAATTCCCTGGCTTTTGTTAGCTTATCTCAGGTTCTCCCGATATGCATTTTTGATGTTTAATTTCTTTTGTATTTGGCCACCTCTCTAAACTTGGAAGGGGAGCAGAGCACCCCTCCCCAAACAGCAGCCAGGAGCATCACCAGCCACCTGCACACTGATGGGAAGCATCTCACCACTGAACCTGCCAATCATCACAACCACAACCATCCCCTCATCAGCACGGTTGTCACGTCCCTCCAGTCTCTGCCACAGTGCACAGATGAGGCTGCTAAAGGTTGCAAAGAGAGGCAAGTTGCTTAAAAGCACCCTGCTGATGACTCCCTGCCTCATGACTGACATGCTGAGGATGCCACGTGTCAGGTGCCATTTCCTTGCCTGCCTCCCCAGGCAGGTACCCTTCCAGCTCATGGAATAAAACCTCTTGCAAATTAGGAGCAGCAAGCCCTCCGTGCTGCTGTCTCCTCCTCTTCCCGGGTCTTGCCACTTCAGTTAAGCCCTGGAATTGTTCTTCCTGTTATTGCCTGGCATCCCTCCCTCTGTGGCACTGCTCTTCCCCATCCTCCCCCTCCATCTCCTCTTTCTTGGCTTTACAGCAGCAGAACTGTTTGCTAATGAGGGAAAACTCCCAGCTCCCGACTCCTCACCCTGCTGACATTCCCGAGTGTGAGGCCACGCTCACGCTGTACACTTGCAAGGAGTGGGAAGCACTTTTGGCCAGGTGGGCCTTGCAGCTGTTTCTCCAGCTAAACTAATAGCATTTAACGTGCTCCCTTTGCAGCTGGATGCTGACTTAACTTTTCCAAGCAGCATATGGACAAATGCTTGTTCAGGTTTGTATCACATACCCAGGAAAACCAACCTTTTCTCCCTCAGGAGAAATACACCCAATTTGGCCTGTTTTATCATAAAGGCATGAAGAAGAAGACATCAAAATAAATTAACCAAATATGGTTTGATGAGGTATAAATTACTGTCAGTCAAGCCCAGGTTGGATGGGGCTCTGAGCAAGCTGGTCCAGTGGAAGGTTCCCTGCCCATGGCAGGGGGTTAGAACTAGATCCCTTCCAACCCAAACCACTCTAGGATTCTATGATTCTATGAAATTAAGGAAGGCCCCTGTCTGTTTAGTAGTGACTCAGCAAGCAGCATAACCTTCCTGGCTTGACCTCCCACAATACAGAGCCCATATAACCAGTTTTAAAGCTAAACAAACACTAAACAAACATACAAAGAACCTTATGAAACATTTCTAAAGCTGGTCTCAGGGCTTTGAAAGCATCAGTTTTAAGGCACGATTTACTGTCTGCTATCACAACAAAACAAATACCACAGATTAAAGCAAAATATGTCTGTGAATCTACAAAATATGGAAATAATGCACATGGAAAATGGAAATCTTCCTAACCATCTGGAGCCTAAGTGTTTGCCATCAATATTGGATCCAGTAGCACTGTAGCTAGTTAGCATTTTGTCACTGATTTCACTAAGGCCAGGAATCATGGATAACCACAAGTGTTTGGAAATGGAAGCTCAGTATTAGGTAAGCAGAAGAACTCGCTTCCAGCAATTATGAAGTCAGAGGTGTGCAGCTGCCTGGTTGATTTTATTTCTTTGCATGCTAGACAGTAAGAAAAGAAGAATAAAAAAACATTATTTCCTTTGCTGTTCCTCTTTAATCACTTTGGATAATTCTAAAACTTCTACCCGAAAATTATAATCATGTGTTGTGTAAGATACATGTCTAAGCAAGACAGAATCAGAAGTTGTAAGTTTGGAACTCACCACTGAAAAAATATTATTTTGTGTCCTTTCATGCAAAAATCTGCATTTCACGCAAAACTCCCAGTAAAATATTTTCATTATGCACCATGCAGGCAGCACAAACAAGTGCATTATTCCCTTATCCTGCTCTGCCAGTGGGAATGACCCACATTTAACAAAGATCATGAGAGTTACCAGAGAATTAGTGTAGGCCTAAATCTCATAGACTGCAAGGTTTTTCTGGAAGGTAGGTGGCTTTTCTCCAGAGTTCCTCCAAATCCATCCGGAGATTATCCAAACATCTCAAAGCTTTCCTCCTTCACATTCCCTTAACTATCAGTCCAGAAGTTGATCTTCTAAGGCTGCAAGGATGGCAACTGCATGCTCTGGTTAGCATGGGGAAATAAAGCAGCTGAAAAATCTAAACCAGCCCATGCCTGCACTTTGCAAGAGAGTTTCTTACCAGGTGGGAAGGTGGTAGCATGGAATCTGGATATGTTCTCAGGGCAATCTAATTCTGACACTGAAACTCCAGCAGCAAAAGGGAGTATAGATCATTTTAGTCACTACCCCCAGAGATGCCTCTTCTAGGGACTCCATCACATCTGTGAGCTGTTGTCTGGTGTTTTGGATATCCTGGAGAGTCTCAAATGGCATCACCTGCCTGTGGTTCAGTGACACCATCTCTGCTTTGCTCCATGACCAGATGTGACCACAAGGAGAATGCAGGAAGTTCTTTTCTCCAGCCCCTTTTGCGACTTCTCAACCAAAAGGAAATCTACACCACAAAATCGGAGAATAACAGAATGGTTTGGGTTGGATGGGACCTTAGAGATCATCTCATTCCAACCTCTCTGCCATGGGCAGGGACACCTTCCACTAGACCAGGTTGCTCCAAGCCCCGTCCATCCTGGCTTGGACACTTCCAGGGATCCAGGGGAAGCCACAGCTTCTCTGGGCAACCTGTGCCAGGGCCTCACCACCCTCACAGTGAAGAATGAGAGGCATTCTCTTACTTTGAAGATTGTCGACTGGCCAGACATCAAAAGACCCACAACACTAAATTAAATGCTACCATGGAGTTTCCACTCTCAAATCATTTCATTAAGAGCAGTCTAAGTGTTTACAATGAAGGAATATTATAGTGATATGAAGACGGGTGAGTGCTCAAATACAACCACATAGACTTTTCCAAGTCTGTGCATCACACTGATTTTTCAAGTGGTAGATGTCCCACTGGCTCCAAAAATACACGGTGACATGGAGGGGACAGAGGGTTGCACGGGTGCCTCAGGGAACATTTCCATGGTGGAGCTCAGTAGCCAGGGAGACTGAAAAGGTATGGGAGAAGAGACTGTGGGAGGGGAGTCCAACACAGCAGGGAGAAATGTGAGAGGAGGCTGAGAGGAGGGATGTTAGGGTGTGCAGTGAGCGTGAAGGTGATGAAGAAAGACACCACGTCCATGCAGCCCCTCTGCAAGCAGCTGCAGGCAGGCAGATCCAGTGCTCCTGCTGCAGTCCATAAGCTCCACACAAATCCTGGGGTCCTCCCCCCTGATGCAGTGCTCAGGGGATGGGAACACCTTCCCCTGCAAGGGGGGAGCCAGGGAGGGGTGAGGAAATGAAAGGACAGAGAGAGAGAGACACAGGTGGGTTTACACTAGGACAGGGCATTTGAAATGGACACGACAGGTAGAAAAAACATTCCTGGCAGGAATCCCGAGGTGGAGGAACACAGTCTGTGTTTGGGGAGGAGAGAGAGACAATATTGCATCGCATTGCAATGGCTTGGAGGGAGGGAAAGATCATGGGAGCTACGTCATGCAGGGGAGAATCCAAACATGGGGTGAGCAGCGAAGCCACACAGAAGGAGAGGAAGGGTCAGATATCAGATGTGGGGGTGAGGAGAGAGGAACAGCGTGAATTCTTGTACAGAGTTGTAATAATCAAAACGTTGGCAGGGCCTTAACTAGGCAGCCCTGCTGGGTGCCCAGATAATACAGCTGATTTTAATTGCTGATGTGTGCATTTTATGTCATTTGCCTGATGCACAGCCCTTTTATGACTGTTGCATCTGACCACAAATCAACAGTCAGTCATAAAGCATCAGGCAAATGACCTCCTCCCCAAACGGGCTGTGTTATCTCTATTGATATTCAATATTTAGATTTTTAATGGAGATAGATGGATAGGCATAAGGGCGGGAGCAAGGTGGGGCACAGAGAAGCGGGTTTGAAATAAACAGGTTGACAAAACATAAAGGCAGGAGGCAAGAGACAGATGAATAGTCAGGGAGGTGCCTGCCACCAGGGTAGGCAAGTATCATCTGGAGTCAAGCTGCTTGGGAGAGGCTGCTGAATGACAAAACTGCCAGGCAGCAGAGAAATATGAGTATGAGATAGGAAAAGAAGGACCAAAGAGACTGAAAAGAAAAATAATTTCATACAAAAATCCCGTTATTCCACCTTCCCCCTTCCCCTGGCCCACCACTCTGCTCCTTCCCACCTCTCCCCGTTTCCAAGGAGCGTGGTGTAAAAGGTTTGATTTCGGGACTAGCAGGCTACATGTTGTCAAATGTGGCATTGTTAGCTGGAGGTCTACAGGAGGATGCATATTGCTTCTCTCCCACCTGCTGTTCATTTCATAAACTGCAATCAGCACACAGTCAGTCAACACCTCTCTTGTTTATTATGTGGTACAGCGGGAGATTTCGTTAGACCTTTAAAGCACTGGACCAAATGCCACACATCTCAAGTTGTGCCAATGGGTGAGACAGGAGTCTGTGCAGCACCTGTGCCCTGGTTGTCCACAGACCTCACAAACTGGTTTCTTCCTCATTCCTGTCCCTTTTAAATGCATGACTTCAAATTCTTTCACATTGCCATGAATTTCTCTTCCCATAGTCACTCTTGATTCATGTTTTACTATCCATGCTCAGGCAAGAAGCTGTTTTAGAGACCAAAACTAGCATCCATTTCTGTCAAACAGGAACAAATGATTATTGCTCCGTCAGATATTTATCATATCTATAGTATGACACAGGAAGTGGATATTGGCTTTTGAGCCCTGGGGTCCCCAGAACAGGAAGGATGTCGACCTGCTGGAACAGGTCCAGAAAAGTTCACCAAGCTGATCCGAGGGATGGAGCAGCTCTGCTATGAGGGAAGACTGAGAGAATTGGGATTATTCAGCCTGGAAAAGAGAAGGCTTTGGGGTGACCTAATTGTGGCCTTCCAGGGAGCTGACAAGTTGGATAGAGTTCTAATCCCCCTGCCACGGACAGGGACACCTTCCACTAGACCGGGTTTCTCAGAGCTCCATCCAACCTGGCCTTGAGCACTTCCAAGGAGGAGACATCCACAACTTCTCTAGGCAACCTGTTTCAGTACCTCACCACCCTCACAGTAAAGAATTTCTTCCCAATATCCCATCTAACCCTATTCTCTTTCAGTTTGAAACCATTCCCCCTTGTCCTGTCACTCCAGGCCCTTGAAAAAAGCCTCTCTCCATCTTCCCCATAGGCTCCCTTTAGGTATGACAGTGCTCTCCAAAAGCCCCAAGGAAGCAAACACAGGTTACAGAGCTGCATTGGGCCTGCAAAGCTGCCTGAAGGTATGGGAACCTCTGCTGAAAGGTTCAACATGCCCTGTCAGAGTACAGGACTTACAGAAATATTGGCCCCTCTTTGAAGAAAAGGATACTACTGATCAGAAATTCCAGATAAACAGGGGAATTCCTTATCACTCCCCCATATGTGATTCCAGTCAAGGGACAAAGACCGTGTCTGAAACCTCAGTCTTCATGAGAGGACTAGGCCAATATAATCTTTAGCCCATTTTAGAGATGGCATCATTTGCCAGTTGAATATTTCACTCTCTGCAGATGTGAAATGATGACTTCAGCTGCAAGGTGGCAGATTCAGGTCTCCACCAATGACTCATGCTGTCTTTCTACATAAGTGTATGAAGTTTATGTGCTTGTCAGTGACATCTCTTAAGTGACCACAGACCCCAAAGTCAGAAATAAGATCTAAGAAATATCCTTCAAACATTTGTAGCTAGCAAACAGTATATGACCCCCTAGCAACATCTGTCTTCCAGTCCTTTTCTCATGGGTAATAGATAGAAGAAAAAGCAGTTGCTGCTCCCTGACATTCATGGGGCTCATGTGGTTGAGACCTGAACTGGGAATCTAATGACTGTTGGTACAAAGGACTCAGTGAGGTTTCGTGTGATTTGATTTTAGTCTTCCAGGGTTCTTTTTCAAGGGATTACATTCAAAAAGTTGCATTGCTCAACCAAGCAGAATTTAAAAACAAAACAAAACAAATGTAACAAATAAATTATTATTTTTTTAAAAGTCAAACAAAAGGGAATTGTGAATCTATAAATCTAGTTCCTTATTCATGCATAGCTTTTATTATGCAATCACCTACTCTGATCTATAAGCCTTCTCTGAGTGGGATAAGACTAAGCACACACTACTGTGAAAGCAGGTTGCAAGATCTGCCTTTAGTCAGACTTTTCCAGCCTTGGTACTCCTTTGATGTAAAATACTAAGTGCCCACTAGACTGTGGGCAGGTTTGGGGTTTGCTGACAAAGACCATGCCTGTATCCCACAGTATCCTGCATTCTCTTATTCACTGCAAAGGGTGGCAAAGCACTGACCTCCTCTATCTTGGGAAAAACAAGAATGAGTGAATATTACACATCTTGGTTAGCATGAAGTGGCTCATCAGGAT